AGACCGAGTGGAACAGAATCCTCTTTTCTCCCCAATCCAAACTCCATTCCCTTTGCTCTCCCGCTTGGGCACATAATTCCCTGCCTCAGTTTCCCCACTATTACAGCTCAGTGGCGTGTTTTGAAGTTTCACAAAGCAGAGCCAGGTTTTGTGGTCCTTCATCAAGCAAAACTTCCTTTGATTTTGACCTTTAATGTTTATGAAAAGCTTCAAAGATAACTGCCAACTTATTATTAATAATCATCAGGGAAGTGGAAGTTACAAGCGGTTAGTGGCAGGCAGCCCAGCAGCCCCTGCTAGGATTTCTTCTGCGTTAACAAATCCAGATTTTTCAGGTGTCTTATTCTAAACGTTCTTGTTTTCCTAACCATTTTTCGTGAGAGAGGGAAAGTAAGTTTTTCCCTCCACCTTTAAAAAAAAAAAAAAAAAAAAAAATCTGATCAAATTTGCCTTTCTCAAAACACTGAACATTCCCTTTCTCATCTACCTAAACCTGATGTTGAGTTACTGTCCCCCAGAGGCTTTCAGTAGCTCAGTTCTGATGTATCCCTGCACTTTGTAGCTCACTGCCTTCTTAGAGTGTAATCAAACATCAAGCTAAGTAGCAAATAAATCTCCCGATCTCATAAGCTGCACAGCAAGATCATGTAAATGCAAATGAAGGGCTTGATTTCAAGCTGTCGCGGGGGGAAGGAGGGAAAAATGCTGGGCCTTGTCACCGCAATCACTTCACTCTGCAAGTGCAGTAAATCTGCAATAATAATAGTAATGGCAGCGTGACGGGAGGCTTTACTGTACAAGGGGGTGTAATGAAAAGGGGAACAGAAGGCAGGGAAGGAAGCAGGGCCTGGCGGGCTGAAAATACACCAGTGCAGGGTTTGCAGGCGTCCACAGAGCTGAGCCATCGAGGAGGGGATGGGGCAGCCCTGGCTGAGTCAGAGCAGAGAGGATTCGTGGATTTGCCCAGCATCCCCTCCCAGTGAAGGGCTGCCTTGATGCAGGGATTAAAAATCCATGCCTCCATCTCTCGCTGTTCCTCTCTGCAACAGACACGTCTCCTGCCCCTCCCGCAGTCTCAGTCATCTTCAGAAAATTGATGCAATGTGTGTCGACGGGCCATAAATACCAGGGGATGACACACAAATAAGTCTTGCAACAAAACCTGGAATCCTTAAAGGTTTTGTACTTCCTTACACGTCTTCAACACGCCCACCTCTTACAGACAGACCCATTTCTGAGCCTTTCTCTTCCTTCACAGCAAACATTTTCCAACACCATTAGACACTCAAATACAAATCCAGGGCTCAAACCTGGAACTGCAGAAATCAGAAACTACCTGGCAAAGGCCGGGGAGCTCAATACACCCAACACCACTTGCTCTTCAGCCAACCAGGGTATTCCCCCTGATAAAACACACCCACTGCTGTGGCCAAGTCCAAGTGTGACACCCTCCAAACCCAGCTCAGACACACCTGGTTCAACCATGAAAATTATCATGCCCAAGGGGAAAGAATGCATTAGCTGAGTCCTTAAAGACAGTTTGAGAGCGCAAACAAAGCCTCAGCACACATCTCTGCAGCCCTGGGAGGAGGCGATGATCTCTGCAGGATGCTCTGGGAATGCTTCAGGAAAAAGTCTAGAGTTGCCTGTTCTGAACAGGCTGGGTAAACAGTATTTAAGATGCCGGATTTTTCTCACTGAGGTCGTAAAGGGAGAAAACTTGCAGAAGGTACCCAGAGAAAATTAGGACCGCCTGGGATGCAGAGAGAGACGGTTTTAATTAGAGCCAAGAGGTGGGAAATAAGGCAGAGAAATGACATCTTAATGAGGTTTAATGAAGTTGTCTGCTGATGGGCACAGCTGTCAGACAGATCTGTATTCCAGCCAAGCAGCTTTGTGACAGGCTAAACCTGAACACAGGAAACGGTGCCGGAGCTGGGGAAGAAAAAAGGACCCTCTGCAGCAACTTTGGCTCGCTCTCCCCACAGCATTATGACACAGCACACCTACAGAGCCCCAGGACAAACAAATGAAACCAGCCCAGGAGGTTGCATCAGCATTTTGCTAATTTATGAATGAGAAAGGCTGTAATCTTGGATTACACTGAGCAAGATTCATTCCTGCTACCTCCTTCCCATTCTTTGCTTTCGTGGGTAAAAGATGTTGGCAGGCAACCAGAGTCCTCTGAGTCCATTGATTTTCTTCAGGCACAGGTTCTCTCCATGTTCAACATATTGGACCAGATTTTTTTTTTTTAATTAATTATCCAGCACCTTCAGCTTTATTTATTCAGTGCAAAGTGACTGTAAAATGCCACCTGATCATAAAAAGAAAGAGTACACCCTCAGTTTGCAATGGAGTAAATACCCAACTCTGTTAGCTTCAGGTGTTCTACCAAAGGGAATCTTTAAATCCTGGAATTTCTTCCATTCTACACAGTTCTGCATTCAAAGGTCTGGAAGCGGCTTTGCCACAGGTTACAAACCTCTCTCTTTTCCCTCAGTTTCTCAGCAAATTTCTCCCATCTGCCACACCTTTGCCATCATAGCACATTTCTGACCTCACTTGGCTGATCCAGTGTCAGAACACGATCCCTGGAAAAAGCCTTTTCTCATGCACGTGAGGAATGTTACACCATTTCCCTTGGATACCAGTGACAACTCATCTAAAAATAACTAGCGTACAAATGCCCGTAAACACAGGAGAAATAGATCAGCAATGAAAGCTACTTTATCATCCCTGGCACTGGTTTATAGGCTTTGCGCGAGCTCCCTAACTCACACACAGCATGCACATATGGTTTAGCACTGCCGTGTGATACTTTAGTTGTGATAGCACTAAAAACCCCACACTCTGTCCCATCCTTCCCAGTCCTGGACACATCTGCAAGGGACAGTCCCTTTCTCTGCTAGAGGGTCACAGGAGGGGGCTGGAGAAGGCAGCCGTGTCCCACACAGGTTGTATGGGGTAGCTGAGTCCGATGCTTTCAAAAAGGTCTGTTTGCAACAAAAGATCTGTAGCTTCACACAGAACAAGGGAGCCTGGTGGGGTTTTCAAGCCTATCAATTCCAGAAAATTCATTTTCTGGTGAACTTGTGTTCCTGAGAGTCATGGGAATCTCACACCTGCTTTATAGCACCACAAATGCATGGATTTAACGGGGCCAAGACGAAGCACTTCCCTCCCAGACCTGGGAAGCAAGATCCTGGATTTATTGAAAGCAGCACTGTACAGGCTTGCAGACCCCATGATCCCAATGATCCCAGACTGGCAAAGCTGGTGGTCAGGACCTGCAGAGGAGCAGAGTTGTCACAATACAGACAAGTGGCTCAAGCAAGCAGGCACAATCCTACCCCCGGACATGCTGGTGAGGAGCCCTGTGCCACAGCCTCTGTGTGCTTTTAAGTGTTTATGTAGTTGCATAGAGAGAAACTGCACTGAGAAACGCTGAACTGAATGCACTAAAAATGGCAAAAAAGTTTAAATAATTATGAGCAAATTCTAGAGGCCTCAATGCAGAGCCCTCTGGAAAGGAGCCTAATTTGGGCAGGGGTTATTAAACCTCCCTCCCTAGGCAAAACTGGCTCAGCAAGAGTTTTGCCTGAGCTGAGCCTGATGCAGAACAGCTCAAGCTGTTCAGCAGCATCACCCACGCTTGGTGAGTACCATTTAACAGCACATTGGAAAAGGGCCGCCAGGCTGGCAGCATACAGGAGAGCCGTGGCTACTCCAAGGCCCTGGCCATGGTTTGCACAGCACTGGCTGGGAGCAGAAAGTAAATTTGGGTTAGAATGGTGCTTCTATACAAGCAGTTCTAGTAAGCAGTGTCACTTATCAACTGCTGTACAGCCTCAGCCTGCCATAGCAGCAAGTCGGAGGTGGTTCATTTTCAATCTCACTGTCTTCACTAGGACCCTTCAGCCTCTTATGACCCAGAGAGTGTTCACTCTGGAGTGTAATAACAGCCATTTCAATGCCAATGTTCAATGATTCACCCATAAGAAGCGCTAGAGCAGGATTTCAGCACTTCTATTCTCCCAACAAGACCTGCCAACACCAACAACTTCCCCACCTTCCCCACCACCTTTCCCATGGAAAATAACCTGTCCCAAAGCACCCAAAACGTGCCTCAGAGCTCCAGGAGGCTTGTTGTCTGACCCTGCTCCAGCTTCTCCTAGCAGGAACACACAGACCCAGGCTGCCAGGCTCTCTTCCCTTCCCTCCTCCGCCACCTCCCTTTCAAGCAGCAATAAGGTTTCAAGACACACACATCCTGCAGTGACTTCACCATGGAGATGGGAGGGTAGAGACAAAGGGGTGAGGGGAGGTCAGTTAATCCCACAGACACCACTGGGCTGGGACACACATGAGCTGGGGAAGAGTTCATTCTGAAACTAAATAAAAATGAGGTTATTGAGCTCAAGTTGTCTTTTCTGTGCTATAAACCCAGGCTCTGAACCCCCTTCTTCACCCCCCCCATCCTCCCCCTGCAGCATGCCTTGTGTCTTAATTATTCCCAGTCGGGAGTGATGACATGTTTGTGCTTGGGGAAGTTTGTGCCAGTTTCCTAGAAGGGTGCACAGCTTGGAAATGAAATAACAAAGGAAAGTTAAGACTAACTGCAGAGTGTCCCCAGCAGACAGCACAGCTGGGCATCCCAACCAAAGGAGAAATTAACTAAACAAGGCTTCAAGTCCATATATATTGAGTCAGGATCCCTATTTCCAGCAAGGCTAGGTCACTTTATGACTCAGGTGAAAACTTGTGTGAAGTTCAGCATCCCCTAGGCTTCAGCTCTGGTGAAGCCTCATGGCTGTGAGTCCTCCTTTTGCACCATCACACTCATTTGTGTCCAGCCAGTGGGATTCAAACCCGTGCCAAGTGGAGCTAAAACCAGTCCTGATTCTTGTGCCACGTTCTGTTATAAATTTTTATTTTCAGGAGCTTTAACTTGTCAGGAAAGATTCTTACACTTCTCCTTTAACTTCACTCTTTTGCAGCCAGAACTGGGGAGGCCCCAGAGAAACTGCTACACCCTGCCAGGCTTTGATTTTGCGTACGGGCTGTACATCCCGAGGACAGATGGAGGAGTCCCTGAAGGTATAACACCACCACTAAAATACAGACCTGCAGCAAAGTCCTAACACTAATAGGGACTCTCCTCTCCTTCCCAGCGCTCTTCAATACTTCTCATGGAGCTGGGATCTGAAGAACTCTAACATTCACCCTCTTCCATTAATATCACTTAAATTCCTTGGTGACTAGTAAGGTTTATCTCATATTGGAAACTTTTATAGGATCACAAGAAGCCCAAACAGCAGGGGGCATGGCACCTGCAAAGGGTAATAGATGTGGCCACTTTCATAACTTTTAGAGCTCCTACTTTGTGCTCTCAGGGGCAATCTCCCTGTGAAATCAGACTTGCTGAGCAAGTCAGGGTGGAGGGTGAGGAAACATCCCATTCAGACAGGAGATGTGCCCATAGGAAATGCAGTGGGATAGGATACAAAGTCCACTCCACAGTGAAGCCATGGCAATGTGCATACAAGCCACTCAACACCCTTGTGACCAGTTCACAACCATCAGCCTGCCTTCCCAAACAGGAGTTACTCGAGATGCCTGATCTTTTTCTCTTTGCTTCTCCTGTTTTCTCCCATCTCCAGCAATAGGCCACTGGAACACAGTAAAGCCCAGGACTTCAGTTCGGAAGATGCCCCGAGACTTCATCACCATGAACCGTGGTGCTCTGAAGGCCGGTTATACCACAGCCCATGAGTATAATTTGTACTACAAGGCCAAGGACATTCGGCAAAAAGATGATGAATACAGTCGCTTCAAGAGAAGTCCTCCTAATGTACCTGCAGACTTCACTTACGGCATCCCAACACGGTAAGGGGGAAGGGCTTGGGGCCCTTCTCAGGATGAGATGGTCCCTTCCTACACTCACACCTGCATCACCCCCACATCTCAGCTAGCAAAGTTCCCAAAACAGAAGTCTCCCAAACCTGGACATGCTGCAACTCAATCACAGCATCCCTTCTGTGTCTGGCTGCACCTGTGTGTCAGATAAACAAATATCTAAACCTAATCTAAATGCCACAACACATCCCCATCACACCTCTGGCACTAAAGGCTTAGAACCACTTAAATATACGTTCAATACCAATTCTTTAACTTAAAGAAACATGAAGAGTTGTGAGCCAGAGTAATGGCTTCCCAGGGTCAGAAAATCAGAGCAACAGCATTTCTACCTGTTTGCACTGGCTGAAATACTCTGGTGCAGTTAAGAATCCGTTGAAGTTCTTTATCCTGCTCTCTCTGACTTGTTGGTTCATCTCCCTGCATTGGGCAGAAACTGGTAGTACAGCAGGACAGAGGCAAAGCTTTTCTTTGCTCTCTCTTCTGCTTTCTTGGGCTCCCTCCCAAGGGCTGGAGGGGAGCTGGAACCTGCTGCTTCCCCAACAACCCCTCTAGAAGGGCACAACCCTGCCCATTCATCCCTTGCAACGCAGCAGGATGTTTAAGGCTTCACACTGAGTTAGGTCTTTTGCATCTCAGCGTCTTCCAAAATATTTTTATAAAGCATCCAGCCTATGTAAGGTTCAAACAGGTACAGCGTTTAGAAGTGACCCATGTAACGTCCCCCTCTCATACCAGCTTCCAACTGCTTGCTGTGGTGATTTCTCACGGGGAATTGTGCAACAGGGAGTCTGTAGGGGAGAGCATCAGCACCTTCCTTAGGCTGACTCCTGTGTCCTTCTGCTGCCTGTCCTCCTCGGGAGCACGAGGGAGGCTGGAGGGCACCACAATGTGGAAGAGCCAGCGTGAGTCCAGTACAAACAAGTGCTCAAAGCCTCTGAAAGGGGCTCTACTGCTGCTGCTGGAGCACGGAGGGTTTTCTTGCTCTGTGCAGGTCTGGACCAGACATTAGGTTTCATTTTAAGGGCTGGATAATAATCACTACCAGAAAAATAACAGCCACAAATTCTAGAGAAAAGACATGATGAACGGCACTGTGTATTTTACGTGATAGTAAATGGGCTTTGCATATGCAAATTGAATGGATTTTAAAATGGTATTTAATGACAATTTTCGTAGCAGACATTAACATTAATTGCATCAAAATGAAAATGTAGCATTAGCTTGCTGTTAGCTGCAAATGCCCCAGCTATAAAGCTTTATCTTTATCAGTATCAGCCCTCACCGATGTGACAGGGCTGCTCTGCAAATTGCAGGCAAAAGGGCTTTTATGTGGCAAAAGTATCCCCCAATGTAGACAAAAATCAACATCAATTTTGCTTTATTTCTTCATAAACGGAGGTTAAATGGCTGCCTGTAAGAAGTCTAGGCACGTTTCAAAAGTTTTAAGGAAAATCCGCAGACCTCACAACAGCAGAAGTAGTGGGAAAGGGCTTTTAATTTAAAGTTATTATTGTACAACTTGCCTGCCCCTTAATAGCTACCTTTTATGCAGACTGATTGTATTTATCCCTTTACTTTAAAAGCACGTTATAGACAAAATCAAATTACCAGGGATTACCAAGGAGTTGTTACAGCAATTTCAGTAAAAGTGGGAATTTAACACACTTTTCCATGCCTGGTAAGTTAAGGATACCAGCTTCGGTGAGCACTCCCCAGTCCAAGCCTGGTCCTAGTCACAGCTGACCAGGTCCAGCAAGACTTGCCCTGTTAAAAACAACGTGGTTGTTAATGGGTTTAAGTTTTCTGCTTTTGGACTCCAAGCACTGTACAACTGTGTTCTTGGTGCTGCTAATTGGGAAGGCACTCACAACTAAGACACACGCTTGTCTGGGGACGGAAGAAAACGGTGGCATTGGTCTTTTTCCATGACTCTAAGCTCTTGCTTGCCTTTAGAAATGTCCACTTTGATAAACACCTCTGGTGCAGTGAAGTTTTTCCACAAGAACAGAGCGTGAATGCCATTCTGGCCCAGCACAGACAGCACAACTGAGAAGACCAGAGAGCAAAGTGCCTTCCCCTGTGTGCCATTCCAGCCCAAGGCACAGCACAGACAGCACGGCTGAGAAGACCAGAGAGCAAAGTGCCTTCCCATCGCCCTGGAAGTTGCTGCAGCCACCCTGTCTGAGGATGGCAATGCTGTGGGACAATCCCCAGAGCACCAATGCAACCCCTGCCAGTCTGCACCCTGCTCTTCTGCACAGCTGGGATTGCAGCTGGGGCCAGCACGGAGCCTCGGGGCTGGCTGCCTCCCCGGGAACCACAACACAGGGCGTTATAAGCCCAGGCAGCTCAGCAGATCTCACAAAAACATATTTGTGGTCTTGCAGCTGCCAGGGAGTAACGTGCAGGGGGCTTCTCAGCCCTGGCAACGTATCTCCAGCCCCTTCTCAGGGCTGCGCTGCTAAAGGCATCTGTCTCCTAAAGACACCAAGGTCAGGAGTTCTCCCCAGGCTCACAAGTACGAGCTCCCCTGGATCATCCCAAATAGAAATGAACACAAGTGCTGTGGTTGCTATTAGTGCCTTATTAATCACGCCCTGGCCCTGCTGTTCCCTCCAGCGCGGCAGATCGCTTGTGTCTCTCTGCTTTCCGCTCAGGGTGGACGTGTGCTGCATGGAGCATTTCACAAGGCAGCCTCAGACACTGGAGTGAGCTTTCTGAAGCTTTGAGGCCTCTTTCCTTTCCTGGGATATTTACCTTCAAAGGTCACCCATACCCCTTCTCTTAATTCCCTGCGGGCATCTTCCAGGGGAGAGAAGCAGCTCTGCTTTTTTTTTTTTGCTGATTCCCCCTCATTCTCTCCCTCCCTTTTCCCACAGAAATGTTTGCTACGAATCATGTGGCCAGCTTTGTTGTGAGAGTCATAAAAAGGACATTTTTCATCTCTCCTTTTTCCTGCTCTCGCTCCCTTCTCTCTGGCAGTATCAGACAGAGATTTATTCCCTCCCTGATGCCTCTGGCATTCGGAGCTGGGAGGGGTCAGGGGAGGCACTGATGGGACGATAATAGATAATACAGTGGTTCCCCAGAGTCTTGTCCGGCTCCGTAGCCGATCCATCAGCAGGCAGTGCTCGTGCCAAGGTCAGCGGTAACGAGGATGTGGTAGGGTCCCAGCCTCCCCCATGGGGCATCCTCCAGTCAGGCTCCCCCGATTCCCCGCTCTGGCTTCTGATCTCTACAAGAGCTGCCTTGTACAAGCCACAATTTGCAAAGGAGCACGTGTCTGCTGAGCGCAGGCGCCGGGGTAATGACCACGTTACGGTGTACGCACGCTCAGCTTCACCTGCCCCAGCCCTCAGCCCCACCACAAACAGGTCTACAGGTTTTATTTCAAAGAAAATGCCCATCACTGACAATACCTCCCCTCCAGGAGCTAAATCCATCCCATCCTCCTGCTTTGTGTATGACATTACATAGCTGTAAGACGTGTGTGGATTAGGGTTGCTGTCCTCCTGGGCCCAAGTTCTACCTCCTTTCATTTAAAAGAACCCCACAACACAGTGCTACCATAGGTGTAAGCAGGTGTATCCGACCCCCATACTCTTTACATAATAATAACCCTGATTTACAAGGGGGGGGGATGCAGGGCACTGAGTGGGCTGAGTTCTGATGATACTGAAGATGTAAAGACACAGAGGATCCGTGAAGACCTCCAGGATCTTCACTGGTGTCAATACAACTTGGTATTCAAGGTGCATTTGGAAACCTCGATAGATGTCCAGACCTGCATTTGTCATCCTAACCAGCTTTTCTGATCGAAGTTCACTGTGCACTGAAATTAGCAGACATTAAATGATCACTTTTGGAACACAGAAGTAAGCACAAAGATAGGGATGCTGTCTACAGCTAAATTTTAGACTATATTGATTTGCACAAGGTCACACAAGGAGTTTGAAGCCAGAACACACCAGCACGCAGTTGGTGCCCCGAGCACAAGCTTTCTCCCCAGGAGCAGTGCAGAGTGCATCCTCAGCAGGAACACACTGTCCAGCATTTCCAGGGCTGCTTTTTGAGAACAGCTTTCATTTGCCTCTTAGTAGTGCAAGTTCCCTAATTCTGCATACTGTGTCCAAGAACATATTCCTGGACGCAAGGACCTCACAGACGTGCCATTCTCTGCCATCCTACACCTGTACCTCCTTCAAACCCTGCGTGGCCGTAACCCTGCCTCTGACGTGCTGCCATCCACTTGGCAGTTGGCCTGTAGGTTGGGCTGACCTTGGGTGTGCTGGCAGGATTTCCCTGGCACTCTGTCATCCCCACGTCTCCTGCCGGGTCTCCCCTACCGTCTGCCTTCACTTCAACTGTCCCTTTCCTGAATTTTACATCCCATTTTCCTTCTGACTTCATCGCTTCCTAACATTCCACATCCCATTCTCTAAAACTGGTCTTAATCTTTTGCAGCTGCTTTCACCATGTTCCTGCAGCAGCCTCACCTCTCTAAAGCATTTGGTCACTGCCATCTCTCTTCATCAAATTGTTAGGATTGGCCAGGGACATCAGTTATAAAGAAAAAAAGAGGTACTTGATATCATTTGCAATAGTCCTAATTGACAATTGGTCTCACTGGCCTTCAGCAGCTCAGCTGTTGCCTTGACTATCCCTGCAGCTTCCTGGCTTAACTGACTGCTCTGTCCTTAGCTTTCACCTTCCCCGAGAAGGGAGGTTTCAACACTCATGCTTCTCCTTTCTGAGTGGTGTTTCCACCCAAAGTGTCCATGATGTTTGCATGCAGCCAAAATAAAGTTTAGAAAGCCACTCAAAGAAGTGTTTCCAGCATCTGTTTGGCACAGAGTGTGCACTGGTAGGTTTATTTTTGAGACACTTAAAGAAGACTTCAGGTCATTAAAAAAAAAGCTAATATATATTTACAGCTATAGACCAGCTGCAAAGATGTTAAAGAAAGG